AATGATCATAGACATACAATACAAGTCAGAGTCTGTCTGTAATTCAGCAAGTCCAACTTCATCTACACATTAACATTTTTTCGGAGGTATCTTTTGCCATCAGAGGTAGTATTTTCCCAGACCTGAAGGTGGAACTCTTGTTCCTTTGATGATCTTTGTGAGTGCCACAGCATTTTGCATTGTCTTTTTTTCTGCCTTGAAGAAATAAGGAAGTCTCTGAAGTCACTGCTGGGTTGACTGGGAGATCATGTTAACAGCGGCAGCAAAACTGGACAGTTGGGTATGAATGCTGTGTGCACAATGAGATGTGCCAGAAGCTCTTCAGACATTGCCTGTTAGAAATTACACACAAAAAAAAATCTTTCTTTTTGGAAACATCTTTGGGATCCTATTATTATTATTATTTTTTTTTTCTGCTACATAGGTAGACTTCTTGGTCTTCTTCTGACATTTAAAGACAGAAAAGACCAAGTGGTCATATCAGACTGCATAGAGTCTCTGACTACTACTACAGCAAAACTGCAGCGGTGTATGCTTAAACTATAGTACATCTTTGGAAAAATTCTCTCTCTCTCTTTTTTTTTTTTTTTTGTTTTTTTTTTTTTTTTTTTTAAATTATCAATTTTGAATTGTTTCAAAAGAGATTCACAGAAAGCCATCAATGCTTCTACTCCTCACACATCTCTAAGCCACACAAATAAAGCACACTCATGATAAAGGCACCTCTTCATCTGCATTGGATTGTGCTTTTAAAATATCTAAAATTCCATTTCATAACTTTCTTCTTTCCAATATTTAACATCCTTTTGAAGTGTAGATACTCAAACTGGATGCATTATTTCATTAATGGTTTAACTAATGTTATAAACAAGGACAATACATCCATTCTGGTTGTATTTGGTGTTCCTCTGGCTTTGCTTCTGAGTACTAGCAAAGTTTTATTCTGGGAGCTCATGTTCAGCTGCTAACGTATTGTAATGCCCAGGTCCTTTTCAGTGTTGTCTCATGGCTGTTACTCTCCCTCAGGTTTCGAGGGAGGCCCCGAGGCCTTATCTTGAATGTCAACTTTCAATTTGCCTGTCTTAAGAAAAGCATTATTATAAACGAGGTTATCTTAAAAAGTAGGACATGGGATTTTATCTAAGTGACCCACTGTTGCTACTATTTACAACATCAGAGTAGTAATTTTGTATTTTTGTCCAAGTCACTCCTAATAGTACCAGGTCAAGAGTAAGCCTACTCAGAAGACATCTGTATGACAAATCTTCACTTACAATCATGTCTCTTGAGAATTCTCATTTGAACCAGTTTTGGATCCACTTACTATGACCTACATAGACTTTGTATTCCGTGCTGTATTTACGAGAGTAGCACACTGTTCTAACTCGGATGGAATCTATTATTTCAACATTATTACCTTTATGAACCAAACTTACATTCAAGTATGTTTAATCAAATCTCTTTCATAAAAATGTGTTCAGTGGCACTTAATTATTGGCATTTAATGACTGTAGCCCCAATCAGGACTTCCATGTTTCTGCCCAACATCTGTGCCAAACCGGTTATGCTACGTTAGCCTGTGTCATCACTACCATTTTTTAAATATATGATCATTGTAAGCATTTTTTAAATACTCTGGCATTTATTCAGCTGTATTGTGAGCAACAGACTGTGGATGCTGTGGATTTGGATCCTTTAGCCACTAAACAGCTTTAATTGTAGTAACTACAATTTCTTCCCCACGTGCCCTATGAAAAAAAAAAACAAACAAAAAACATCTAGCAGTCTGGGATGATGTGTATGCAAAGTGGATGGCTAATATATACATACTGATTGTCTGGCTGATTGCTGCTAAGAAGGAGAATGTGTAGGAGCTGAGGTTTTTGCCTGCTTTTCCCTGGCTGAGGAAACAAATTCAGGTTTTGAAATACCCATTTTCGCAAAACCTACAAAGGTGTTCTCCGAACTAGACCAGAACTGACCCAAAGGGTATGGAATGACAGACAGATGCACAGATAACATAAATATTGTTCATGACCTTAATATTATCTTTGATTGGAGATCTTAAGTCAGTTCTCTTAATACTATTGAGTACAGTTAAAAAAAAAAAAAATCTATTTCAACAGTGGCACAGCATCCTCATTAATTGTTGCTATAGAGATATTGCCGGGTAGCCAGACAGTTTTCTGTCTCTATTCAGAGGCGGCAAAATGACCAGAAGTGACAGCAGGCTGCCCTTGGATGTTTTGCTTTATGTAGATGAAAATTTGTCCTATAGCTGCCAGTATGCCTACCTGGAGCAGCAGCTCTGGTAGCCAGAGGTTGAAATACTGGGATAGGGTCTAATTATCAGTGTAAGGTACGAACAGCATTCACTTATCTTCAAATTGGAATATTCATTAAATACTTATTTTCTGAATAATGCTGTAAATGGGAAAGGACATGGTGAGGGGAGAACGGAACCTCACGGGCATGGCCTGGGCTACATTTGTTTCTTATAGCCTCATGCTTTGTATCTCCTAAGGACATAAAACTATTAGAGAGTGTCCAAGGGAGGGGCTATGAAGATGGTGAAGGGTCTGGAGGGCAAGACACATGTGGGTGGCTGAGGTCCCTTGGTTTGCTCAGCCCCGAGCAGAGCAGGCTGTGGGGAGGCCTCATGGCGGCCTGCAGCTCCCTCACGAGGGGAGCGGAGGGGCAGGCGCTGAGCTCTGCTCTCTGGGGACAGCGACAGGACCCGAGGGGACGGCATGGAGCTGGGACAGGGGAGGGTCAGGCTGGGGGTTAGGGAAAGGGTCTGCACCCAGAGGGTGGTCGGGCACTGGGACAGGATCCCCAGGGATGCGGTCATGGCACCGAGCCTGCCAGAGTTCAAGAAGTGCTTGGTCAGTGCTCTCAGACACTAGGGTCTGATTTTTGGGTGGAGCCAGGAGTTGGTCTCGGTGATCCTTGTGGGTCCTTTCCCACTCGTGACATTCTGTGATTCTGTGACCCCCAGCACCCCACTGGGCAATGTGCCGGGCTTTAACTCTGTTACACTGTATGACGTACAAACGGGATTTAAGAAAAGCTCTTAAAATATGTGGTGGGCACCAGGCATCCCGTGTCCGCCTCCCAGACGCAGCCATTTATTTCACCTTCCCCCCGCGGCTGCTGGCGGGGCTGACAGCGGGGCGAGCCCCAGCCCCTGCCCTGCTTAGCTGCGGCTCCCTCGGCCACCTCGGGGGCAAACCGGAGGCGAAGAGGTGTGTGTTTGTGCGTGTATGGTGTACTGTGGGGTGTGTTTGTGTGTGTGTGTTTGTGTATTTGTGCCCCGTGTGCGTGGCGGGCGGGGCACAGCCGCCTCCCCGCCGCGGGGGGGGGGGATCGCAGCCAGCTCCCTGCCAGCGCCCCGCTCCCAGCCGCCGCATGGTGAGGGGCTGCGGCGGGGGAAGCGGGACCGGGAGGGGCCGAGGGGAGGCAGGGACGGAGGGATGGAGGACGGAAGGACGGAAAAAGGAGGAGGCCGGGTGCTGCTGGCTGGTTCCGGCGATGGCGGCTCGGCCGCTTTCGCTTTCGCTTCCCCTTCCCAGCCGGGGCTCGGTGCCTGCGGCCGTGCCCTGCCGGTAGGAGCCGGCGGCGGGGGGTGGGGGGCTGCGGGGCGGTGCCGTGACCCCCTCCGAGCCCCGACCCCGAGCCCCAGCCCCGAGCCCCAGCCCCGGGGCCCGTCCCGCTGGGGCCGCCCCCCCCGCAGCCCGGGTGCCTCGGGGGTGTCCCGGGCGGGGGGCGCAGGGAGGGGTCTGGGGGGTTTGGGGGGGATTTGGGGGGGTTTGGGTTTGGTGAAGGTGGCCACAAGTCGCTGGGTCAGCACGGGGTTGGGAGAAAGTAGAGCACAGGGTGACGAAGTGGCTTGGCGCTGCGTTTCAGCAGGGTTTCTGTGCCCTTCAGGAAGAGGGGAGCTGGTGTAGGGCGTGTAGGACATGAAGGTTTCCTCATGGCTCTCTGTCCCCCATCGCTCTCTGCTTGTGCTTCTGGCAGGGTGGGGGAAGCCCAGGCCTGGGCCACCTGTTGCAGCCGTGGTCCAGGAATACAGAAAATCCGTGTTAGGGCCCCAATTGCAGGTTGCGGGGCGTTGTGGGACAGGTGCTGCGGCTGCTGAGCTGCCCTGAGCTCGCTCTGCCGGTTCAGCAGTGCCCAGGAAATGCTGGTGTTTGTCCCGTGATGTCTGGCCTTCTGTAGCTGGCTTAAAAGTGTGAAGCAAACAACGCAACAGGCCCGGCGTGTTTGCTCCGGGCCTCTCAAAATGCAGTCGTGTGCTCTTGCCTTACCCGGATCGAGTTTGTCTTGCTGGATCCACGAGGGCACAGATCCACCGGGAGCCACAGCCCCAGGTTTCAGCCCACCACGTACAGCCGCTAATTCTGGTGGTTCTGCAGGAGATGCCACGTGGGCAGCTCTTCACCCCACTAAGTGGGTGTTCATGTCGCTTCGTGGGCACTTCAGGGCTAGTCACCGTGTGTTTCAGCCTAACACAGCTGCTTTCCTCTGGTTCCTTTCATAGCCAGTGCAGAAAGGTGTAGTCCAGAACCAGAGTGCACCCCGGCTGTATCCCACACGTTCCTCACTCGCTACAGGCCAAGAGAGCAGTAGCAAATACTCTTTGCCACTCAGTTTTGAGGCCAGTGCTACTCTGAGAAGTGTTTCAGGTCAGCATTTCTCTGGGTGAGCAGAACTCTTCAGATTTATTCCACTTTTTCCTTTGGAGAACACTGTGCAGTTTACCAGAAGTTCACATTACGTTTGGTTCATATAACAGCACTTACTGAAATTTTTGATACAAGCATGTTACCGTCATAGCAAGGCTTTTCTGACTGACTACAGCTATGTGACTGTGTGATTTCTATGCGCTGCCACAGAGTAAGTGGAGATTTCGGGTTACTGTCAGAATTAAATTCACACGTTACACAGTTTGGAATTTTATGTCTGAAAATCCTTTCACCCTTTACCATTATCTGACTTAAAAAGTGAAATGCGATAGCATATGCTGCTTGGACCTCCACTGTCTGTGAGAGGAAGTGATTTATTATTTAAAGATTTTGTATGCTTTATATAGCCATTTGTTTAGTAAAATAAAGATCAAGCCAGTGAAATGCCTCAGGTCCTGTTGCTTTGTGAAAAGTGCTTTCAAGCAATAGTGTGTAGACTAATCCTTTATGTAAGATACCCTCAGATAATTTTAAGTGTATGGGGTGAAGAAACTGGAGTTCCTTGAGTGATAAGAATCACAGGTGATTTTCAGAAGTGCACACACCAAGTTAATGATACTCTTTATTCTAACTTTAGTTCATAATCATAGTTCCAGTTTGGGGCCATCTCCAGAAAATGTAAATCTTAAAAAGAGAGGTATATGTAATTTTTGCCACCTCCTAATATTTTGATAATGCTCCTGTGGTATGCTTTGATATATCTTTTTTATTATTTATTAACACAACTGGAAATTATGCTGCATCTGGGTCTTGAGCACTAAGTGTTACTTGTGTCACCGAAATGTAATTGAATTTTGGTACATGAATTTTGGATGAGATAATCTTTAAGAGGCCAATAGCATCAGTGTTTGAAATGACAAGATTCTGTAATTTCTTTGTTTATCGAATTATCTTGCACAGTGAATATAATGAAGAACAGTTAATTGCGTATGGTTTTATCTAACTCTTTTAATTACTGATTTAGTGATATGGTATTCTCTCCGGCTTTTTTGCTCAAACTTAGATGTATTTTAGAGAATCGCATCAGTGTATTCCAGGCTCACAGAAGTCTAGATTTGGTTGGGCTTGGAGCTTGGTAAGTGCCCGTAGAGAGGAATGTCCCTCAGTGTGGCTGAGGGACAGGGAGTCAAGGGATTGACTCTTCTTCTCTGGCACTGGTGAGACCAGCAAGGTGGTTTGGGGAAGCACACGGTAAACTGGGAGAAACTGGGTGGTGTGAGTTTGGCCAGCCTTAAGAAGAGAAGTTGGAGGAAAGGGAGACCTTGCTGCTGTGTGCGGGAAGGTGTTGAGTAGACTTCTTCTGGAGACACATGGCAGTAATGTGAGAGTGAATGGACACAAGCTGGATTTGATACAGGGAAGGTTTTTGTGGGTTTGTTGGTTTCTTTTTAACCTGAAGAATGGTCAAACACTGGAGCAGGGGTCTGATGAGGGCATGAGTGGCTGTCTAACAGGGCAAGGGCCTGTGCAACCAGATCTAGCTTGTGCTTGGTGGCTTCTGAAAATCCCTTCCAACCTAAGCTGTCCTGTTTTTCTGTGATTACTCGAGAAACAGGTGTTAAAGCTTTGGAAATTACTGAAGTTATCCTTAGAAAAACACAAACACAATAAATTATGCAAGAAAGCGTAGATTTCCTTGACACTACATCTGGAACTGACATACTGTTAGCACACAACCATGTGAAGATAACTTTATTTAGCATATCATATTAACTTCAAAAAAAAAGGTAAATCTTTCTTGCATTTTTTCTTATTGATAATTTATAGCTTAGAATTTTATTGTGAAAGCTGCTGTATTGTATGAGAAAACATCAAACAGAAGAGAATGTAAGGAGTTTTTATGTTTCTTCCTAAATTTCTCGCTCTTAGTTTGCAGTGAATGGTAGTTGCATCGGTGCCTTAAAAAGGACTCTTAGACACTGTTGTGTCAGTGAATTTACAGTCTGGGAATTGGGATGGTGGAGAAGATGACTGTCCAGAGCCCTGTGTGCAGCTAAATACTTGAATTTTAAGCCATGGCTGTATTCAGATTACCTGCTAAAGGTGTACGGCTACATTAACTCTCCTTCCACAGCGGAACAATTTGAAAACCAACAGGTTAGGTGACTTAACATTCTTATCGATCTCTAGATACCAGTAAAGGTTAGGTACCACATGAGGGTGAATTTAGCTCGCTCTCAGCTGTGTTTGTGCTAGTGCACAACAGGCTGTGGTTTTCCATTAGTTCACATTGTGTGAGAAGTCCGAAGAAATTGCGTCGTCTCCTCTTCAGCACGGTTCGGTGTTAAAGAAAAGCACGATTTGGAGACTAAATTTCTTTGAGGAACCAATTTTTAATTAATTCTAGCTCATAAACTAGTGGATTAGTTTATAAGCTGTCAGGAAATTAAATGTGTGCTCAAAGAGAGGAAGTATTACAGTCTGGCATAGGATGCTTTTTGTCTTTCGTTCATGGTAGAAAAAAGTCTTGTCAAAATGGAGTTCAACCAGGAGATACAAGAGGCTTTTTCAAAGGTTTTAGGGACTGTGATGACCAAGGTATAGTAAAAGACCAGGTGTATGTTTTATCACCTTGCATTTAGGTGTAGTGTGTTTAGGTGGAAAGAGTAAAGCAGCACAAAAGGATATAAAGTTCTTGTTACATCCTGAAAAAGGTGAGGCTGCCCACTGCGTGTTTATTTGAAGAGCTGGACAAAGAACTATTAATATAAATGCATTGGGTAAGGAAGGGGTTTTTAAGGCTCCTTGCTAAGTATCTCCCTGACTGGTTCAGTCAAGACCTGGTGTAATCAACTGGTGTCTGCCGTGAAGGTCTCTCTGCCGACAGGAACCACAGAGCTCACAAAAAGCTGAACGCTCCCCCTCCACACTGACACACTGTGGTTAGAAATGAGAAAAATAATGTGTAATTTTAGCGTTAATAATACACTTGGCTGCATGAAAAATAGATTTTTCTTTACCTGTTACATTCTGCTGGGCCTGATCTGTAGCAGGAGGATTACGCTGGTTTAATTACTTGAAATTAGTTCGCTTGCTGGAAGAGTAACCTGATGTAGTTGCTGTCGTAGTACAAGTAATTTAAGATAGCTAATTCAGCATGTGTCTTTTTACTCACGCAGTTGTACAAAACTTTCTCATAAACGTCTGCCCTTAATTCAACTTCGACTTCCTGTTTTTGTTAATATAGAAAGAAAATCTCATTTAAATAACCTCTGCTTATGCAGTACTAAAACTACAACATTATCTCCATTATCTCACAATAATTTTTCTTGTCCCTTGTGTGCAGTCAGCATAGTGGAATTCCTTTATATTAGTCATGTACTCTGTATATAAATGCTGTTATATACAGCTATATACCTGTTATTATATACATATCTTATTCTAGAGAAGGGAAACTTTGAATTTTATTTTATTTATTTATTTTTTTTTTTTTTTGCATTTGCAAGGAGTAAAATTCAGGAGGCCTGTGTACTGATTCTGCAATATTTCAGTAACCTTTTTAAGGCATCATCCCACAAAGGGTTTAGTCACCAGCAAGGGACAAATGCAACGTGGAGTGGAAACTTTCAGTCAGATGCTCTTGCTCTTTCTAGAAAGGGAAATTCCAGAATTAATTTTATTGTGGAGCCTTGTCAGGATATGTTTTACAATTTTTCAGATGATTCAGAATGTTAGTTGGCAAAACTTGAACTGTGATCAACCAAAGCATCTAATCACAAGCCTTATTCAATCAAAGGCTTCCATGTATCATTTTGTTGCAACGCACATTTGCATCTGCCTTATTTAGCTAGCTTTTTTTTTTGTTGTTATTGTTAAATTTTATCTGTGAAAAATGATCCCCGAGTCCTGCAAAGATAGGGGAATAATGCATTTACATGTAAATAAAAATGCTAATAAGGTATGCATTTTTAAGTAGTTAATGCTGCTCAAATGTGGTTTTGGAATAGATGTGGAAATTATTGGAAAAATGGAATTACCTTCTTCTGCTTGCTTAAAAAGTGAATTCACTTTAAAAAGTGAATCTAAATGATTACATTTTGTAATCCTGTAATTTTCTTTGTGCTTATTTTTTGTTTTCTTTTAGGGTTTTTTACCTTGGTAAAGGTATATTGTGCAAATATTAGCTCGAAGGGGGCTTTTTAGGATGTCTGAAGATGATGAAAAAGTTAAGCTCCGTCGAATCGAACCCGCCATTCAGAAGTTCATCAAAGTGGCAATTCCGACAGATTTGGAGAGATTACGAAAACACCAAATAAACATTGAGAAGGTTAGTGTTCGCTTTTTACTAATATAGCTCTTTTTACAGTATAGAAGCTGTCATCCTGAAAGGTTATGCACAGATTTCAATGAAAAGTTGATTATTAAATGTTTTAGTCCTGGCTGAAAATGAAACTTCTGTATTATTGTCTGGTCATTCAGTACATACAAAGGCCTTTACGTTTGTGGGAAACAGTCAGTTTAGAGTGAGAACCACTACTGTTTTCTGTTAAGAAGCTGTGGTAAGGAAAGCAGGCTAATATTCTTACTTTAATTCACTTGTTTGCGGCCAACTATTCTGAATAATTTACCGTTCATACCTATCTTTTTCTACATAGGTTTTTAAACTGAGCTAAAATAAATAGATTAAATTCTAAAACTGAAATTCTAAAACTGAAAAAAAATGGAAAATAATAGTACCACATTTTTAGCATGGTTATATGCTTCTTGTTGGTATTAGCTCACTCTTGGTAGTGAAACTGATTATGTTTCCAAGAAAAAATAGCGTTGAATTAAATTCTTGCATATGCTATGGCCATGCAAATACTTCTAAAATAAACATCCCCAGCACAGTTATCTGGCATGAAATGGCCTTTGTCCATATTGTAAAACCCTCATATTCTGCAAAAACAGGATGGCTACATCCATGCTGCTATGTCAGCCCCTAAACAGCAGAGATTCTTTAAATAAGAGAGCCATTTGACCTGGACAAAACCTTGCCAGGGACAGTTGTAACAATTTAGCAGTACTGGCAATCTGATTTTAGACTCAAAACATTACCACTGTTTATTAGAATAAATATGTAGCCCATTAGCCCATGGAAACTGAAACATCGGTTCATCAAGGATGGTGGTAGGAGATTTACTAGAACAAGTGACACCAATAAAAAAAAGAAGAGAGCGAGTGACTCAGTAGATGAGCACACAGTCATAATATCAACTCTGCGATGGAAATTTTGAAACTACTAATAAAATACGTATTTGTTTAGAAAAGATTATGCTTACCACCACAGAAAAATGAGTGACAAGTAGTGTCCAGTGTTCTGCAAAATTCTGTACACGTTTGTGGAAAATCGTACCTCTTAGTAATTTCACAGGCTTATTCGTAGTATATAAAAGCCAGTGTATATGTAAATCTGTGCAGGACAGCCATCTACATTTTTTTTTTTAACACCTGGGGAACAAATGAAGAAGTTGGAAGAAAACATGATCATTTGTGAACATGATTTGAATTTCCCGACAGGCGTGGTCTGAAGGGTGTGTGTAATGTTATTGTTGAAACTTTTACGTTTTGCTGCTGTCAGTTGTTCACAACTTTACCTTAATTTTAATGTAACTTTACGAAGTGTTCAACCTTTGGGATGAAATTTGCCATGCCAGGTTTCTGCCTTGAGTAGTTTGGGGATGGAGAGGAGGGAGAATAAATCCTTGCAGTCAGAAAATAATGTGTTGTTTGAGTGCTGGTCATTTCTTTTTATAAGAAATGGTTAGCTTAAGGGATAGCAAGTGGGTGATAGCTTACTGATAGTCATTTCTTTTAAAAGCAGTGACATGGTTGGAACAGTAACTTCAGATCTGTTCGTGGGGTGGTCTTTGCTAAAACGAAACATTTTGCTGTGCCTGTAAAAGTCTGCTGTCTTTTGGCCAGGAGGTGTGATTCTGAAAAAGAAAAATGGTTTGCAGGTACTCAGTAGACACTGGTTAAACACCAGCTGAAGATTACTGAAGATTTACCCAATGCTGAGCGTACTCCTGTGCCTAGAAATTACAAGAAATCCTGGAGTTGCCAATTTGATTTGTCATGAATCTGGATTAAAACAGGGAGTTTATTTTTCTGTTTTCTTTCCTGTAATTGTGTGCAAGAGGAATCTTCTCCTGGGTCATTTGAATAGAGGATAAGGAGTTGAATGGGGAGCTTGTGAAGAAGTACCTCAGGATGCAAAGTGGTTGACCATGAAAAGAGAGAAGAATTGGGACAGGGGAAGATGTGGGACTCACGATGGCTGATAATAGTTGGACTCCTTTCCTTAAGGGTGTAATAAGGATGCAATAAGGATATGAACTGCAATATACACAAATTGAAAAGTGTAGTAGTACAATATTTGCCTGAAGCAATAGCTTCTTAATGAGATGAGCTATTTTTTCAGTCACAGCGTATTGTTTACCCTCTGTTATTCTATATTTGTCTAATTCATTACATTACCTAGATGCCCGTGGATTCAGCATTTTCTTGCCTTGGAATCAGCCACTTTGCTGCAGCTCTGTAGGCAGACTACAGAGTGGTAGAGATCCAGAGGTAGCAAAGAATGATATGAATTAGTGTGGGATTCAGGGCGCTTAGAGAGCTTTGTAATGCCTGTTTTGTTCAAATAGAGACAGTCCTGGTAGCTAAGTTGTTCCACTAAATAGAGGATGGCATAAGAGCTGTGTCCTTGCCTGAGAGGAGCATATGGGTGGTCATGGAAAAAAGGTAGAGTGTTGATGGGAGGGGAGGCTGACCTGTCAGTACAGAATGGGAAATGGTTAATAAGGCACATTTGCAGGGCACAAATTGTTTTCTTGCACTTTGAAAGTCGATGGTGTAATTAGGGAGGGACAGTGGAGGGGATGAGCATAGCTGTTACACTCCTTGAATATTTTTGGAAGAGTATCACTTTGTCCAGCTAGATAGAATTTTTGCTATGTATTGTTCACATATGGGAAAAAAAAAATAATAAAAAATCACACTTATTTAGCATCCATAAACACCCCAACAAGAATCTCCAAATGGCATTGGGTGCTGTAAGGGGGGATGACCTCGGGAATTGCTGTATTTGCTCCATGTGCATGGCTGGTGAGGAGGGGTAGCCAGCTACTTGTCAATCCCGCTGAAAATCTCTTATGTATTTAAACAAAGAATAATTACACCGTATCTACCCAGATAGTGTCACCATGGAAAGGGGTAATACACATTTTCACTGAGTTCAGCCAGGTGTTGCTAAACTGAAGTCTTTGTTGAGCAAACAGCTCAAACAAGTTAAGCATTCTTGTTTTGCAGACAGAAGGGAGAATCTTTGGAAGGATGACATTCTAGAATCTAGAATCTGGAAATTCTAGAGTCTATAAGAAAGTGCAGAAAAATTACATTTTGAATGTAAAAATCTGAGGCAATCTGAAAGTATTTAGGGTGTTCCTTGAGTTTTTTAGGTTGTTGATGATGTCAGTGTGAATGATCTGTTCACTCAACATAATAAATTTGCATATCAGAAAAACCCTTAAATACTTGTAAACACAGATCTTAAAATTAAGGCGTTAAGTGCATTTCCTCAAAACATCTCTGTTTTGAAAGCTAGAAGTGGCACTAAAGATTCAGTACATATTTGTCTTTCTGATTTCAGATAGCCATTGATAGAAAATGTCTGCATCCCTAAAAAGTGTCAGTCTGTACGAAATTGATATTGGTATTAGTAATGAGTGGAATTATTAGAAACAAGTAACTATTCCTAAAACTTTTAAGTAAGCACTTGATAACTATACCAGGAGAAGACTGAAGACTTTGGAACTTTGTGTATTGATTCAAAAAAAAGTGACATGAGCATTTATGAGAAGTAATACATACGAGTATAAAATTAGTCCCTGAATGTCTGATTCTTTAAAAAGTCCACACTTTGTGTAACATTCTAAAAATTTGAGTTTCTTTATTTTTTTAAATACTTTTCGAGCTGTAAGAACTATCAATATTTCAAAGTTTACGTTATTGTTAGCTTTATGAGAATGTGAGAACAAAAATACAGCAAATCTGAATTTGAAATCTATCACTCTAGGTATTTGTGAATGATCAGAACATTAGCATTAGTTTGGTTGAAGTATTTCCATAATCGTTTACATTTGTATATCTTATATGCAATGATGGCATTTTAACCGTAATGAATGTGTTACAGTGCTTCTGTGAGCTGTCAGCATCAGCAGCTTAAATGGTTTTCTCAAAAATATTTTTTGTAAAATTAACTTTCAGCCATGCAAACCAAATATCCCTGGGGTAAAAGGATAATTTTGTAGAATCTAGTCTTGTTTATTTTACAGGCTACTTTTAAGCAAAAATCACTAATTATGTCAAATTGCTTAGAGCAGCAACATTATTTACTTATGATGAAGCCAATATCTCTAACCTCATTTCATGAATATTGATTTAAACCTGAGGTTCCAGAGATAGTCCAAACAATTAATCTACTAAATCACTGTTTGAAGAAACTATAAAATCAATATATAATGAAATTTGACCTTGAGTATACCTTTCCAGAGGAAGTGTCTACCATATATCCGTCATCATAGCATCGCTTCTCAAAGGTGACAAGGAAACACTTTTTGGAGTTCAACTTTACATGTGAGCCTTTCTAAAGATTTAAACATTAAGAAATCAGTAATCTATACTTGTTTTTATTTTTCATTACATTTTTTTTACCCAAAAACTTCTTTTTTTTTTTTTTTTTTTAAAGCATGTTATCTGGATTAGAAGGCCTTTCACTCCAAATCAGGTTATAAAATTCATGCTTATCAAAAGGAGTTTCAGCTTTCTGTTAGCCTCTGTCAGATGAAAGTAAGGTGGAGAGGTGGAGATAGTGGCACACTGCCCTGAACTTTGTTGGCAATAGATGACTGTCCTCAAAAAAAATATAGAAATATATATATATATAAATAAAATTTATTATTATGTATTATAATGTTATATTAATATATATTATATGTATGCTAATGCTAAAAAAAGATTATGCTTAATCCTAAAAAAAAAAAAAGTGCTGTAAGACATAGCATTCTTTTCTCTGTTGCTCTCAGTTTTAATTTCATTTCCTGTGACTGCGCCAAAGTTAAAGCATTTTGTGAAACACTTTGTCTTTGGCTAGGGACCGTTGATGTGGTGAGAAGATACCTAAAGGAGTGGTGGCACAAAATGAGAAAATAAGAAATCTGGGTCTTACTGCAGTCTTCATCACAGTGTATACGTTTGCCTAAGACGTTTATTGTCTAAACCGACATTTATTAAGATTTTAGAAACATTGCTGGGCACTGCCTGCTACAAAAATGAATGCAGGGGGTATTCTGAAAAGTTAAGGAAAGAGAGGTTAAGAAGGAAGAATTCTCTGACCACATGAATGCCATTGCCCCAGGTGTATTAAGTCACTGAATTGTTTGACGTCATCACTTGCATACTATGAATTTCAAAGCAGTGCATTCAGTAAATGTTCTGAGCATTTCTGCTAGAAATGATTAAGAGCAATAAAGGTTTCCTAAGGAATTATTGTTCTTCTTTGGGAAAAAAAAATCCTTTTTTCATTATTGAGAATGTGGACAGTGTATCGTAGTCGGTTGAAATTGAAAAGATATGTTTTCCCCAAACCCTTCTTGTTCCCCCCTCAGAAATTCTTGTTTCAGGACTTTTTCAGGGGTGACTGAATTGGAAGATCTAATGCTGATACAGCCTTGTTGTGCATTTTATTTTACAGAGTAATGGTAATAATTTTAATGGCATGATAATTTATGCAGAAGTTGGTAGTTTCCTAGAAAAATCACTTTAATATATCTTAATTTAACATTAAAGATATTCTCTTACAAAAGACTACAGTATTAAGATCTGTTTTCTCTTAAAACAAGAAGTAAATTCATATTTCTTTTCATATTTTAGAAAAATGAGTAACTTGTGTTCTGTGTTGCTCTGGCCTCTATGATTAAGCAGAGAATTATTAAAAGATGTACACTGTGGATAAAGTGATTTTTTAATTGGGACCAACGCATATTAGGCAATTGGGGCGTTAACATAAAAATACATCAGAAATCATGGTAAATATTTTATTACTTAAACAATTTTAAATAATGTTCTAATATTGTCAAGTATTGTAACTGGATTCTTTGATGGTTTCAGCACCTATTCCAGGAACCACAGTTTCTATTTTTCTTTTATTTTACTCAAGAATTCTCTATCTTGATGACAGTGTATGTATCTGTTAAGTCCACAGGGACAATAGCAGGGATTGATTTATTTTTATGACAAAAAGGTTTACGTGTGTTCATATGCAATGATTTTGCAAAACTTGCTTTCAACTAGTGGAATAATTACTCCAGTCTGTCCTGTGCCTAAATGCCTATAACTCAGCTATTTTACCATCAGTTTGGGAAAATTAAAGTGATTATTTATTGAATTTTCCTTTTTCTGCTTAGCCACTTGGTAAAAATAGCAATTAAATGAAGTATTTTTCTTTTATTTTAGTATCAAAGATGCAGACTTTGGGATAGATTGCACGATGAGCACATTAACGCAGGACGAACAGTTCAGGTAAGGATACTAAAATCACTGTGGCATTAAGAGAATTAAATATTCCATTATTAAATTCCATATAATACTGGTTGCTTCAGAGACAGATCTTGACAGAGAAGTGTATTTGACAGATGGATTTGACAGGTATGTGGTGTTGCTTTACTTTGTTTAAGAGGTTAGGGATTTCCTAATTGTATATTGTGAGGCAAATACTGTCAGAAAGGTTTTGAAACATATAACAACAATGGGTCATCACTGGGAATTTTCAGAATTCTTGAACAATATGTCTTAGTCACCTCTTCAAGTAAAGCTGTCTTATAATAAATTTTGTTGTGTAAACTTATGGTGAATTTTTAGACACTGAGTATCATTCCAAATACACAAGCAACTGCTGGTGTCCCGGTCAGTATTTGTATATAGCTTTAAGTGAAACAAAGTTTGGAAACTTTGGTCTTCAGTAAGCTATCCTATTGCATTACTAAATTAGATGATGTTAATTGCAATAATAAGATAATATTGGTTCTAAAGTATGGTTTCAGCCCAAACACAGAACATCTGGACTACTAGTTTGGTGTGCAAATCTATTATTAGATGCATCATGTCATCAAAGGATGAAATACCAGACCCATTTGTCTGCATGGCATCATCGGTGACTTCATGCATAGTCAACCATAACTCAGCAGACAGGGAATCTCACATCTGTTTTTTAAAAAAACGCATGTCTGGATGTAAATGGTGCCAAAGCTAATGCCAAACATCAGTCTTCATGCTGCTAAATAGTACGCAGCCAAAGAAGATTATCAGTGCAGAAACCACGAAGACCAGATCTGCATTACAACATTCTGCTGACGCAGATATAGCAGCCAGTGGTTATAACACTGCTGTACTGGCAAAACTCTGGGAACAGATGTATTTTAGCCAGCAGGAGAGGCATCTTGTGTTGGTTTCACATGTGGTTTTCAGAGCAGGAGTATGATTTTGTTGCCAGAACAAACCGTTTGCGACCCGTACTGCCTCATGACAAGCAGGCTTTGCCAGTAGGGGTAGCACAGTTCTAAAACACTGTGTTTTATAATTATGATACTGTGAGTTCCCATGTTTGTTGCAATACCTTCCCAACTCCTATGGGAAATGAGGCCAGAAAAAAAAAAAAAATCAGAAAGAACTTAATCCTAATTGAACAACAGTATTAGACAGAAGTCAGAGCTAGAGGTACCTGTCTTTTTTTGAGGTCTGGAAGGTATTAAAGAGGTTTTATAGTGTAGATGTTAAGAAGTTATACCTGAAATCCACTTGATTTTTCTTTTATTTGGAGGTTTGCATGTTTATTATGTTTTTCACCAAACACTTTTGAAATTTGAATATGTTTATTGTTAGTGTTGGCAAAAGAGTCTGCCAAAGGTGTTTGCAAAATCAGTCCTATTAAAACAATGTCATTCTAACAGGTGTGTAGAAAGCAGGTGTTTGCCTATGTCTGTGCTCAAATCTATTTTCACATATAAAGGGTAGGAAAGGTTACTCTTGGAACTCCTTATCATGAGTACCATTTGTCTACCAAGACAAACTCTTGATAAGAGTTAGGGCAATAGCAGTCATGTTGAGGACGTTGTTTTTAAATACATTAAGTGCTCTAGTAATAAAAACTCTTACTTGTCTCTAGAAAGATTTATGCTTGTCTTGAGCCTAAAGCCTGCCATTTTCACCTTCAGTCAAAACAGATTTTCTTATTTTTTATATAGTACTTTTTGCTTTTAGATCTGGGTGCAGGTTACACATTAACACATGTTCGGATACCCACAGAGCAGAATAAGTATCAGGGTCCATGCAAGAAGTGTGGAGTAGCTCTCTGTTTTAATTAAAAGAGTTAGTAGTCTGGAGTACTTGATAATAAATTATACGACATGTAGAATGTGTTTGCTGTAAGCTGTTTAAATGTTTACCGATGGACTTGTGATCTGTTTGTTTGTGAAGAAATCAGATTAATTATTGTGATACCAAATGTTCTCTGCAGCACACACTTTGCTCTCAAAATTAGATGTTGTAAAAATACATTAGGAATCCCTAAGTCAATATTGACCCAAGGCATCCGCCACAGGTTTTAGACAAATATATGCACAGCCACTCTACATTTAATCCATGTGCACATAATTAGCCATTTTTCTGAATTTTCAGTTTACCCAGAATAATTACTTCTGTTGTACGTTTGATGATGGTCAAAATTATAATAGAAGGATAGCATAAGTGTGTTATACCTCTTCTTTCTGGTGACTGGGTGCCACATTAAAAACTTCTAAAAAGGAAAGTGAAGAAAGTGGGAAAATCTTTGTGTGAGAGATGATGACACCCTTTCAGAAATATTAAGAAAATGGCTTTTGTATACAATATTTTTTATGGTGTCAGGGAAGTGTCATGTAAAATCAGTTCACTGTCGTAGCCTGTTGCCATCTGTAGGGTAAATATAGCCAAGATTTAGATTTTGTTTGACCTGCATCAAGACCTGCATTTTATCGTATCCCCAACATTTCATCCTTCCCCAGCTGATCCCACACGGGCTGCCCACAGGCAGCAGCTCCTCAAGCACTGCTCCCACACGGCTCCGTCCCACGGGGTCCATGGTTGGGCGGCAGCTCCCCCCAGGCCCCCTGCTCCTGCGGGGGCTCCTCTCCACGGGCTGCAGCTGCGGCCCGGGGCCTGCTCCTGTGGGGGCTCTCCATGGGCTGCCACAGTAATGGGTAGTATTAGGGGCCGTGTAGGCTAATAGGGGTAGAGTGAGTGAAGTGCTGGAGCTTCTGAGTGCCCTGGGGACATCCGTACTGCCAAGGACATGTGGCTGAAGCAGATACTTACATGGGGAATTTTCAGGTAGCTGTTGCTGGGAGCCTTAGTTAGAGCTTCATTTTTTTTCCTGTAACTGGTGGAGATACCACACATTGCATGGAAAAGGCCGAAGTCATAAGTATAAAATGATCCTGCAAATCAAATACCTTCTGCCTTTTCGAGGGTTTTGGCCTCATCTCAGCCCACTGACATTTGTGTAAGGTGAGGCCGTGCAGGTGCAGTGTTTATCCTCACTTCCAGGGCCTCGTGCTGGGTCAACACTGAAGCACTGCAGTGTGCTCAACGCTCTTTGTCCCTGCCCCTTTCCATTGTGCTGTTATTTGTCCGTAATGAGCAGCATGCTCCGTGCCACGTCACTGCCAGTGCAGGTCACTGTGTGTCTTTGCATGCAGTCCAATGAGAATTGAATTATTTCTTTTTTTGTTGTTGTCACCAGTTACTTGTTCTCAAATGTAATGAAATTGCTTGCCTGTGAGAGGCAGATGTTTTTGGTACAACGTTTGTGGTGATGTCCTCAAATGTTACGTATTAGAGTATGGAGTGGTGATGGTATTTTTAGGTGTCCTATGGTAAGTCTGTGAAAACACAGCACCAATTTTTCATCATTATATTACCTTGAAGAGTCAGCTGTCACCATTAGGGAAAAAAAAACATACTGCTGTGAGAAAACAAATACTGAAAAAGATGAAGAAAAGAGTTCTGCTCTTTCATGTAAATAAGGTGTGTTGGTTTGCTGAAAAGTGCTGTTAAGACTTCTGAATTCCTTCGGGAGTCTGTCGCTGTTCTCACCTGTCCAAAACATCTGTAGACAAACTGCCATTTGTAAAGCACTTTGGAGGAGCAGAATATGGGAAGACACTTTGTGTTTTTAGAGGTAATTCTAAAAGCTGAATGATTATTATGATTCCCTCTCTCACTTATTTAAAAATAGGTGCTGAGTAATGAGGTAGGCTTAATGGGTAGATGTGTGCAGACATTTTCAGCAACAGGGATTTTCACTTTCTTTTTAGGAAAGGTTTAATGAAGCCCTCTTGGCTCACTTGTGTCCTTTTGTATTTTACTTTATGGTATAAATTTATAATTTATTCTGTACTTTTTACTGAACGGTTTGTAAAGATTTGGAAAGTGCAACTACAATGTGTGTGGCTTCTCTGTTTCTTTCTGTTTTGGATGTGTTGATAAAGTCAGTGGGATTTTCACAGTAGTTGTGAAAATCGTGACACCTTCCATTTGCATTTCTGAAAAAAAAAAGTATTTATTTACATAATTGACCATCCCTGTGGATCTCTTAGCCTTACCTCCAAATCTGTGGACGCTTTAGAAAAACTGGGCTCAAACTCCACGTCTCTGCCTCAGTTCTGCACCTATTCAAGTACAGTGAACCTTATCTCAATCGAGTCCTTTGAGACTCAGTGATGAAAGCTTTGTGTAATAGCCATTACTCCCATTGTTAAGCAAAAATATGGAAACGGCATAAAGCTGTGAGAGACTTAGGGATTTTGGTGGAGAGGGCAGGATTAGAATTCATAATGATGTCGGGAAGAGATCTGAAAAATCAATATGGTCAGTGTTGGTAGGATTGCAGGACTTTTTCCAGTTGGGCACCATACTTTTAAGGAGATCTGGACTGATTCGGAGAGAGAAATGAAAATGGTCAGAAGATTAGACTTACTTGGAAAGACTGAAAAAATTTTTTTGCCCAACAAGTGCCTGACAGCAGCATGTTGTCTGCTTGCAAACATGAAAAAGGTTGCTGCACAGAGGACAGGGCTTTTCTTCCTCTGTTTTGAACAGAATTAGAAATACCCGGTTTAAAATGATGCAAGAGATTTCTGCATTAGATTTGACAGGAGGAAAAATGCAGTGGGAATTAGGATAACGAATTCTTGCAATAGAATATCAAGAACATTGCAGCTCTTCACAAAGACGTCCTTTCAAGACCAGATCAGATAAGCCACTGTCCGAAATAAAATAGGGACAGCTGATCATGCTTTGAAGGGCTGACTTCACAAAGTTTTTGCCAGCTTTATCCTACAATTTTTGTGAGAAGACTATTTGAAACAGATTGTTACCTTTTTTGTTGTTGTTGTTGTTCTTTTTGAAACTTAACAGACCAAAATTCCAAGTATTATAAAGAAAAATTCTGCATCTTCTTGGCCAAATTCGATGAATTCAAAACCGAGGAATTTGCATAAATTATTACCTTCCTCACTGAGTAAACATGGTTTTAAAACTGGAAACAGCTGGAAAGAGGGTGATGTACTTCTATGCTCTCCCCAGAGATTAAGCTCTGCCCCATTAAAAAGATTATGAAAAGAAGTCAGAGTCATTTGCATTTCTGTAACATTTATCAAGTTACTCCCTGGTGAGCTCCTGAGATGCCTCCTGACAGCGGGGCTTCGGGCCCTTTCCAGGCTGATCCCATGAAGCTTCTGTTTAATTGGCAGTACGTGGAACAGGAGTCCTCTCCACATCCACAGTCTAAGAGGTACTAAAATAAAATTTCACCAAATACGCAAATACTATCATTTGATTCCTGTCTTCTTTCTCACAAATATTTGATCAGCAGTATAATAATGAGAAATGAAACTATGGTTCTGACCAACTTCACTCAGTCTTTTGCATATCATAGGGTCATAGACTGCGTTGGGTTGGAAGGGACCTTAAATATTATATATATATGTGTGTATATGTAATCATATATTATATGAGTCTTGCAAACAAAATAATTAAATGCTGTGTCTAGACATTCCCATTTGGTCTTCTAAATTTCATTGCAAGGTTTTATAAAGTGAGAATTTGGGCACGTGGTGGACTATGACAATGACAGCATTCTGCCCTTCTTAGTGCTTATGGGCAGGCCATGGGAGAAAGTAACAGGAGGAGTAAGGTAGTTCCTTAAATTAAGGTGAAAAGTGTATACAGAAAATTATTGTACCACGTTTCTAATTCAACTCAGTATCTTGCAAAATTATTTCTTGTGTCTCTTTCCCTATTTGTTTTGTTGTTAATTAGTGGTTTTACCTGGGATTAACCTTAAATAATGTAGCGTAAATTGACTGGTGATAGTATTAATTTAAGCATACAATAGAATATTCTCTCAGTAATTTGACAAATGATTTTTACCAATCAATAGCTCTTTCTTTGGTTACCTAATAGGACTTGTGCAGTGTTACTTGAATTTATTGTTGATTAATCTCCTTCTTCTCTAATTATATTTCTGTAATTTTTTTCATGCATGTTAAAAAACGTTAGTTCTGCTAGTGTATATAAATAAGTTCCATTTGCTTCCTCCTTTTCCAGGTATGCAATGTTGCTTTGCTAAGGCATTACCTGTACCTGATTTGCATTACTGGAAAAAAAACCTTTCTTTTCCTAACCTGTCTGTGGTGTTAATCCATTCTCTTGTTCTGATATTAGAATATTCAAACCAATTGGTAAATAGTGCAATGGATAATATAATTTGTTGTATCTCCTTATAATATAATGCACTGACTATAGTTTTTATTACAGTATTTTTTTTATAATTACATAAAAACGTGTCCTAAAGCAATGAGTAGTATAATTTGAACTATAAATTTCTTCTGTTCTTCTTTTTTTTAGAGAAAGAAAAGTTGCATGCATTTTTAGATTTTAAAAGCCTAGGCAATAAAATACCTCTGTTTCTCTGTAGACAAAAATTTATGTCACAGGAGATGCCTGCACACAGACTATTCCTGCTACTTGTGAAGAGCTCATATCTTCTTAAAACCGTTGTAATTAAAGAGATTTTTGTATCTTATTATATTTGATATTCCAGTCAAACAAATATATTTGCCCTTCCTCTGAAAAAGAATATATTGAATAAAAAAAAAAAAAGAAAAAGAAAAGTAATCCTTCTCCTTTGTTTCTAAAGATGTCTTTACAAAATGAAGTTGATTGCTTTGGGAAAATTAGGGATTGCAAATTATTGCATCCTGAAGTGCATTAATCAACACAGTCACTTATAATATAAAAAAATAAATAAATAAAATTTTGAGAAGCAATCGGTTATTTTATTGGGACATTATCTCAACTTGTTGCGACTTGTGTAAATATTTTGGGAAAGGACTAAATTGGACGCACTCACCAAAATAACTTGAACAATTACATAGTGATTTAATTAGTTATATATTTTAATCAAAACCCCAGACAAAACAGACTGACTTCTTTACTTGGGGAAGTGGATAAAATGTAGAATTGACAATGAGAAAATAAAAAAAAAAATTGATGGGGACAAATTTAAAAATATTTCTCCCTTGTTTTGTGGTTGGCTGGTACTACTGAGAAATGAGCTCACCAGAGAACACAAGAGGTACCATCTTTTCCTTGATGTTTGGTTCCTTCTCTTCAGGGGCAGATGGCTTAATTCACATTCTGGAAAGTAGGCCACTTCCAAAAAGATTCTGACCACTACATTCAGATGACTACTCCGTGCACTCTGCATAAAAACTGTAGTTTTTTCTAAATGCCATTGAAGAGGGAGTTGCTACCTTAAGTTTTTTTGTAGCAAACCGAGTGAGGTGTAAGAAAATATTAAAAAAGGCAACAGACTTAACATGCTGGCTGTGACGTAGTGGCACCCCCAAGCCAAATGCACCATGGAGCAGTGCCCTCTTCTATGAACCAAGCTGATGGCTGCTGTCTTGCTCAGTATCACTGCCTGTTTCAGGATCAACTTCCTCCTTACGAAGAGTAGGGGATTGGTTGTTTGTTCAAAGCAGATCACCTTGAGGCTGAGATACCTGAAGTAAGGACTTTGCAGAAAGCTGTTTGTTTTTTTTTTATGGTGTGACTCTTCTGTAGGAGCAGTACAAAGAGCCCAGGGAATAGCACTGCGTCATAAAACAGCAGAACGTGGGAGACCCAGGATGGGTTCAAAGGGAGGTTTTGGTACTGGATGCAAGAGCTTTTACAGCACTAGGGAACGTGTCATTGACAGGTGAATCCAATGCGGTCTTACAGTGCAGACTGGGAAAGGAAATGGATGCAGAGGAGGGGTGACCAGGAACTGAAGGATTGCTTTGAAGTCGGGACCTTTATTTGTCTTAGTTTATTAAAACATGGCACTTTTTTGTGATCATTTAGAAGGTATATTTGGTCAAGGTGATAGTTGCTTCATAACCACAGAAGGTGTCTGGTTCTTTTACACAGTAAGCTAACTAAACGACTCTTAAAACTGTTACAGCAACTCCGAGCCAACATGAGAGAGATGGAGAAACTTTGTTTGCGAGTCCGACAGGAAGACATCCCTGTTCTGCAGAGACTGATAAATCCAGTGAGAGAGGAAGCTTCATCTGCCATTAAAGACTTCCTACAGCTCCATTCTGAATCTGCAGAAGAACTTAAAAGGCAACTAGAAGGACAGGAGGATGGCTCTTTAACCAGATCTATAACTGTAGGAGGAGGTAGGAGAATTTCATTTCTGTGTCTATATTGTTGTATCCAGTGAGCATTTTCTGACCAGATGTGAAGTAAACCTAAGAGATACCAGTTGAATAATAATAGTTAATTAAGAAATGGATTTTCTTTCCCTGCACCACACTTTTCTCATGACCTGTTGAGTTTTGATAAGTGGAGGACACTCTAATTAAGCATCCTAAGAAATAAGAGTAGGCGTGGCCTCCCATGAAGAAGATCCCATAGCCTTGGATCTTGAAATTGGACACTGTTCCTAGGAAGACTACTTCATGTTTCACTGTAGCTTCTTTCCTGGTCCTGCAAATCACTTAATCATGTGCAAGTAATCATTTAGGCCATTTTCATTGAATCAGTGTATTCAACATAGAAAAGAAGACAATTTTTATATGATAGACATTATGATATGCCACTGCTGAAATGTGCGGAAGGGTTGACCAGGTCTACATATAAAGGAGAATATCTCTTCTTGTAGCATTTGATCTTAGTAACCAACAAGAAAGCAGAAAATATTATAAACCTGTTGAAATAAAAGATTTTGAAAACACACTATAGAAGGCAACAAGTCAGATGTTCGCTGTTTTTCCCTCCTTTCCATACAAAATGTCTTTCAGTCTTTGTTGTACCATTCTGTCTTCAGGGGAAGCACGCACTATGCTCTGGCACTGGCTCGCGTTCTCTGCTAATAATCTGTGAGAAAGTTGATTATATAAGAATTAAATCCTTCTACATAATAGTAATTAGATTGATTGTTGCAATAGCAACATTGTTTAAAGTTGTTTGGAAATGTCATGTCTTTAAAAGTGAAAGTATTTTCAGTCAATGTCATTGTAGAAGCCATCCTGTTTGATTTCATGGCCCTTCTTGTTGCTATATAAAGAACTACAGGGACTGTTTCAAGTGCAATTAACAAGAAAGGAATTCTAACACAGAGAAAAGAAAAGTGGATTTGGAAGACTAGGCTTCGTTTTGAGAGCGCCAGGGGTAGTAGTATCAGAAAGTGTTAGGAAAGTCAAATTATATCAACTATGCAATTCATATATTCTTACTAGACCAGTAAAAAAGATTAAATAGGCTTTTGACATGTGAATTTTTGCTGTTTTCAACACCTTCACTGTCTTTTTAGATACCTGTGAACTGACTGTTCGGGAGTTCATCCTTTGTGGGTTACCAAGTCTGGCTATTTGCTGCATTCTCCTTCTCCTCCAAATAAAAACGAAGATACCTTGATTATTATCTTGCAGTCCTTCAGGATCCCCTTAGTACTCTCAAGTTCTCAGAAATATGTGAACTTTCAGCAATTGTTTCTTAAATACTCAGGAATCAATTTCATCAGACCCTCAGGACTTGAAAACATCTGGATCATCTAAATATTTTTAACCTGTTCTCTTTATGTTTCAGCCTATCTTTTTTGTTTGCGTATTTTCCTTCTTGTTAAAATTAATTGCATCAAGATTACAGCTTCCTTTTCTGTGTAAGGACTGACTTTGTCTTTCTCTGGGTCATCGTTCTTTCTTTACCTGGCACTGCACCTACTTATACTTTGTCTTCCTCTAATTTTCATGGCATTCATGAAAACTGCCTTGCTACCATTTATGCCCATGGTAGTTGTAATTTATTTGTGTCTTAGTCTTTCTGATACTAACCTTCCACATCTATATTATTGTTTTGTACTTATATTAATTGTTTCAAAGTCTTGACATCCAGGGCATTGAAGAGTTCTTGCTGAACTCATAATTCTTTCCTGTGTTACACGTATTCATCTACATCAGGACCATTTGCTGCTATCTTCAGCATAGTCCATTTTGTTAGTGTCTGCCAGCTCTTCTGCATTCTTTTATCCTTTAGGAACTTCTTCTCCATAACTTCTTGTAATCCATTTGCTGAATTTGTGTATACTTCTTTTGTGGGGAGCTCATTGTCTTTGGTCTAACTCTAAGGCTTAGAAGGGTTAATTCTTGCACTCAGTGATCCCCATCAGCCGTATTAGCCATCGCTTCCAGGCTCTTTGTGAGCTCGTCTGTGTTACAATCAGAATAAAATTTAAAACACCTGTTCTCTTGGTAACTTTCTGCAGTTGTCCTCAGTACATTCTGGTGTTTTATTGGAAAGGCCTTGTCCTGGCTTATTGCTTTTCTAACAGTTACACGGATGGCAAACGGGAACTACAGTTTAATTTCAAAGAACAGGACTGTGGTTGTTGTGTTTGTTTTTTTTTTAAATCTAAAATACCTTTTAAAATATGGAGGAAACTGAGCATAACCACACTTTAAAAAGAAGAAAAATTGATCATATAGATTGGGATGAGAAGAACAGAAAAATATTACTGGGGTGACATGCTCCTACATGTCAGCTCAAGAATGCAGCAATAGCTCATCCCATTTAAAGGGAAACATACAGTCAGGCAGACAACTAAATATAATTATACAGATTTTTTTAAAGAAGTTTGCCTGGCTGTGAAACAGCTCTGTTGAATTGCAATATATTGCCTATTTCTTTTGTGCTTAGAGGCTGCAGTCCTGAAAGCAAATCTTGGCTGCTGATCTTAATCAAAGGAGCTTCAGTATGCCCATTCTTTGCAGCATGTTGCTTCCCATCTGGTGGAGGAGTAGGGAGTTTACAAATTCAGATTGCCCATTTAGAAGGCATGTCAGCGAAATGATGGAGGTCCTTCCCCCCCCCTTCACCGTCCTCAGCTCAGATCCAATAGAAACGGAATTTAATTGCATTTTAAGCAAATATTAACAAAAGGTCGGGTTCTACTCTTAAAATTACTGAAGTCTTTTAACCAGTATATTGAATCTTGCAGAGCATTAGATTTTTATCTTGAGCATAATGAGGTGTGAAGCTGCTCTTTGAAAGCTCGCAGAGGTGTTTTGTATTACTGCATTTCTGTGCAGAGGCTGTAAGTGAAACTGGTGCAGTCACTTCCACTCTCAGTTCTATTAAAATTGGTTAGACTTGATAAAACATGAAGTTGTGAATATAAATTTCTTACTCATACTTTCAGCCCAAATGTGACTTTACCATTTTTTTTTTTTTTACCTTTCTTAATCTTTACCTTAGATCTTTGAAGTGAGAGAAGAGTTTGCTTGAGGATGTTTCTTTTCAGTAATTTTTAGCTATTAGAAGATGACAACAGTGTAATCTGACTGCAAAGTGCCTTCTGTGTCTGGATTTTTATAGGAAAAGGGGTAAAAATAATGACAAAGAAAACCAAGGCCCACATAAAACACTACATCACGTACTCTACCCTTGTTGCTCTGCTTTTCTGTGTATTTAGTAACTATAGCCGAGTATCGCCTTCAGTGTCAGAACTGTATTGATCTGAGAGTAGTAAGACTTGGTCCTTGCTGTATCTTGTGATACTAGGATAGAAATGCTGAGAAAAGGACAAATGTAATGAAAATGCATCGTTTTTATTTTATCTTAATTCCATGAATAAGCATGCTCCATTACTGAATTTTTATCAAGAAAGATTAATTTATTTTCCATCGTTTGTTGTAGTAACAGTCATATAATATTATTACAGTACCTTGGCACATTCATTGCTTCTACGGAAGACTTCAATGTAATATTTACACTTTAACAGTGTTAGAAATATCTAACCAGTCTTCCCTACATTAAGCTTTAATACTAACCCCCCAAGAAAGTAAACATCAGTGTCCTATTAAAGTAGCTGTCTTCCTTCAGAAATTGTAGTTGTCTAAATTAGCACGATCTTTGCACCGTGTTTACATCCATCCATACATTCTCCAGCCTGTCTTTCATACTCTTGAGCTATTCATTAATCCTTGCTTATGATAAGCCAAATTTGTTATTCTTAATTACCACTGAATTACTTGTCCATAAATATTCACTTGGCCATTACGGCCGTAATGGCTCCAAACAGAGCTCACTGGCTGGAGGAGGTATGTGTGTATCTGTTCATTTTTTTTTCCAGTCTTTTACATTCAATCCAGAAGATTCAGAAAGGAAGATGCTTAAGAATATCCCCTTTACACTGCTGAGCTTTAAATGTTTGCCATCCTTGCAGTATTGTTAGAAATGAACCCATTTCTTTGGCAATAATTTCCTTTTAAGAAACTGTGTAGTGCTGTGAGACTTTTCCCTATGTGAGTGTTTTCAGGGCTGTTGCTAAGCTTGAATTAAATCAAATACCAATTTATCCATGAGAAGTGTTAAGAGTGAGAAAACTTGCTTGTGTCACCTGCAGTCTGATCAAGTGCATTGATTTGTAAACATCATGTTTTTCATTCAGAAACTTTGTATAACGCAGAAGTGAAGGACGGGTCCCAAAGTTTAATCCAGATGTATTCTCCCCTTCCTGAAATACCTCAGAATGAAAATGCAGCTGAGTCCTGGGAAACTTTAGAAGAGGTATGCTGCAACTCCCTTACGGCTACGTTGGTCTTCTTGTTTTCAGCAACTATTAGAAAATAACATTTGTTTTTTTTATTTGTAGGACTTGATTCAGCTTAGCCAGTTGGTGACTGAATTTTCTGTGTTAGTCAACGTAAGTATTAATTCTGCATTCTCTGTTAGATAGAAACTTGTAAAAAAAAATAAAATAGTGAATGGATAACACCTAGATGGGGAGCAAAAGATGAGCAATACTTCTGTCCATAATCTGAACTCAGACCGAGCTATCTCTGGATAACAACAGAGTAGCAGAATGACACTAAGTGAATTTATTCAGTCCAATATTAAACAAATTGAGATTACGAAACCCTAGTGGCTGTCAGGAACTTCAGGGAGCTGCCCGTCACTGAGCAGAGGCAGAGAAGTGTCCCCACAGTTAGCTGAGGTGCCTGCACGAAGCTCCTGTCTTTGCTACTTGGGACCCATGGTAAACATGCCTCTGGTTTCAAAGCCTGCACGTTTGATGCTTCCTAAAGTTGAAGGTGGTCCATGTAATTATTACAGCACTAATTACCTAGCACTAGATTGAAAGATTTTCTTTTGGTTTTCAAGTAGTAACAGTAGAGGAATGTTTAAAAGCATTAGTTTAACACATATAACTGCCTATTCTGGTCAGAAAACAAATAGCTCTTCCTTCCATATATCAACGAGCTGTTGCTACAAGTACTTTCCTGGTTGTCCTGTTGATTCAGAATCTGTCAAGGTAAAATTCTGAGGAGACAGCACTTTTATTTCAGCACTAGTGCTGGTAATTACTCCTCAGTTCTTGTCACCAGAGCAACAGCTCCTGTTCTAGCCAATGCCCCTTGCCATGTGCTGAACCTTAGAGGACACACTGCGGTGCCCGTTCATTCTTAACGTGTCTAATTGTAATCATGAGGACAGGCTTCAACAGCCTTCACTGCACGGGTTGGATGCTTTCCAGGAACTTTTATTCTCTAAACTGGGAGTACTAGGAAACGTCTGAAGATTCCCTCACCATCATAGCCTTTCTTTACCTTAATAACCATGGCTTTCAAAGAGTTTGCATCTTTGTCACCTCCAGTTAGTTCTCAATGTTTAATTCTTCCTTTGCTAACAGGAATGTGAACAGTTCTCATCTGCTAGGAGGGTCGTGTAATCTCCTTGCTGTTGGGTTAGGTGGGATGGGTGAGATCGCGTTTATCCTTTCTGCTGAACCTGTGCTACTTCACATACAAGATTTGTTAGGCTTTTTTAATTTAGTAGCCTGTTGCAGGAGTGGGCTTTGCACAGAACCGATATCAGCTATGAAGTGTTTGATGGCGTGGCTTAGGTGGTAGATGGAGATACCAAATCTGGACTCAGCAGTTTCCGAATTAGAAAAAGTTCCGAATGCCTTTTCCTGAAGGTGAACATTAGCTGTCTCATTATTTTGTAGCATAAAATAGCCTGAGTGCTGCTGAGATTAAAATAAGAACAAAGAAGCCCACAAACCCCTCTGTCTTCCGAGGGAAACTGCAGGGGAATCTGACTGCATTTTGAGAAAGGATGGATGTAGTATTTTTTCAAAGTGAAAGAACAGTGGCACACAGAGCAGCAGCAAGTATATTTTCAGTGGCCACTATCGTATCTGTAAAGTTAAGTCACTGTTTTATAATGTCATACCTAAATATTTCTATTTAGATTTCTTGGTATTGTATGCTGCTTTGTATGCTGGAATCGGTACTGATCTTATAAATGCTATCTCTATAATTTTTTTTGAACATGAAGCTCAGCAGGAAACGAAAACACCAGCTTGGCTTGTTTTGCCCTTTGGAATGCAAGTTCATCTATTCACAGGAAAGATTTAGAAATCCTATGTTATGGGTTGTTTTCTCTACCAGTAGCAACACGTTGTGTAATATTCGCACCGTATTATTACTTGATAGTTAAGCTTTCTTTAAAGCAAGTTTGTATTTTCAGCACAGTTTATCAGCTGCTATTAATAAAGCACCATTAGGGCTGCATGGCTACAGTGTGTGGCAGATGAAAGCGGCTGTGGGGCCCTGATTACAGGCATTAAAATGGTGTGTATTGGCTCACTGCTGCTTCCCAGCAGGCCGCCTCACTCATAATTCCTTTGCATCTAGGCTCAGCAGGAGAAGATTGACAGGATTGAAGACCATGTCAACAGCGCTGCTGCGAATACTGAAGAGGGAACCAAAAACTTGAGGAAGGTAGGGATCTGCTCCTGCTGCTGAATCGATGGTACTCTGCCTCCCAGCAACCCTCTGTATTAACCCCATTGATCTGCCGTCTTTAATGCTGAGGGAGCCAGCAATTAAGGAAATAAGGAAGAAATGGCCCACAGGTAGCATGGAAAAAAAAAATCAATCTCTCTTGTAATTTTCTATCACATCCAGGCTACTAGAAAATACCTTTTTTTTTTTTTTTCTTGTTTTCTGCAAGTCACATTATATGATATTCTGATGCTACTTCGGTGCACCTGCGAGACCAGAGCGTGCAAGGATTGGCTCACAAGAATCAAATGGCTGTGGGACAACAGGCTGCTGCTGACATGCAGTTTCAATTTATGTGATGTCAGGGAGAGCTCCTGATAAGCCACACGCCTGTATTTAGGTGTTACTGAGAAGTCTGAGCATTTTCTGTTTCATGTAATGATGTAGCTAAGGTAATAAGTAGCACATGCAATCAGCCAGCAGCATGTCAAAAGATCTGGTTCCCAAATGCATACGAGAGCTCTCTTTTGAATCGGTTTTGGTATGGACATGTGGGATAACAGAACATTTTTTTTTAATAATAATTTGTCAAGTGTATTTATTGCTGAGCATTCAACTCATTGCCAAGAGCAAAGGGAAAAAGGCACATCACAACAGGCAAGTATCCTAACTCTTTTTTTTCCTCTTTGTCTTTACAGGCTGCAAAATACAAGCTGGCAGCTCTGCCTGTGGCAGGTGCTGTCATTGGAGGCGTGGTGGGGGGTCCCATTGGGCTCCTCGCAGGCTTCAAAGTGGCAGGAATTGCAGCTGCACTTGGTGGTGGGATTTTGGGCTTCACAGGTGGAAAATTGATCCAGAGGAGAAAACAAAAACTGATTGAGCAGGTCTCTTCCAGCTGTCCGGAGCTTTCTTGCCAAAGAGCCAAAAAATCCAGCTGAAGCACAGATTCATCACGACTAGGGACAGAAGTACAGTGGCCGTGCTGATGACAGACCTGCAGCCTCACGCTTTAAATACGAGGCTGGGTTGCGTGAACTTGTGTGAGATTTTGCCAGCAGTACTGTTAATGGGGGTGGGGGGAAACGGAAATGCCAGAACTTTAGAGCTTCCTCTTCTCAGATGCGATAAGTTGCATCAGTCTTTTAAGAATTACCTGGTAACTTCTTTTAATTACGGAATTCTTAGGTGAGCTACATGCCCAGCTGGAGTGCTGGAGGGCAGGTGTTCGGTGCTGAGCTGCACAAAACGTCCTTCAGACAGTACAGAGGGAGAGACTTGGAAAACTGAGTGCTTTCTCATGAACACCATAATCAGTTTTTCCCATTTTCATTTATTTTTTTTTTTTAATTTGTGAGCTCCCCATTTGTTCAAAGTGTAGTTCAATCTCAGCCTCAGCAGCACCCCTTGAGGACTGCCCTCAGAGAATACTCCTTCTCCATGGCTTTTCAGCTCCTTGGCACACCTCAGGAGCCCTGCAGATGGAGCGAAGTGCCAAACCCCAACCATTCTGAGCCTGAAGCCTCGGCTTGCTGCAGCAGTGCTCCTGGGTGGCTGCTGCCCTCGATCCTCAGAGCCTGGCACCAGCAGCACTCTGCTGGGAGAGTTAAATGGCTTCACGGGGAGGCGGTGCTGCAGCAGGGCCCGCTCCCTCAATAGTATTTTATCCCTCAAAGGTACCAGTAGGTGCCGGGCAGAGGGTGGTGAAACAGCGAGGCCCCACGAGTTACCTGTTAAATTGTGCCCCTGGCAGCTGACCAGAGCCTGGGACTAGTTTGAAAACAGCAACCTGATACTGTTTGCTTTATTCTGGAGCCTGCAAAAGGCTAGGTACTGTTACTGCTTCCTCCAGCTTTTATAGTCAATGCCTGTTATCTTTACCTTATTTTGCTGCTTAAGAAGCTATCTTGCTTCTCTAACTTCTGTTGTTACACACAGGAGTGCTACTGTTTTTATTTTCACCTGAGCTTCCCATTCATCACATGGTCTCACCTCCATCCTTCCAGGACGGTTCCCACACAATTGCTGCTGCCCTCAGAAGGAGCAGAAAGGCAAGTTGGGCAGCTGCTGCTTTAAGTTTTACATCGCTCAGTTCATCCTGAGTGCTGCTCACCTAAGGCTCCCGAGCAGGGAAGCACAGTTTGGAAAAAGCTCCCTTTTTTTAAGCACTGCTTTGATAGCATCATTGGAACGCAGCGCCTGCTAACGGCAGGTGACAGGTTTTTGTGCCTAGAGACACTGTAAGCAACTGTTAGTTACAGCACAAGTACCTTTTCTGAACAGTTCTTCTGTATTACTTTTAAAACATGATTGAAATCGCTACCAGTCAGAGCGTGGTGTCTATTTTAAGTAGGAACGAGGCTCAGGGAAGCAACGCGTAGAATAGTTTTCACAAGTAATCATGAACATTGTCAAAACTGCACGTGTTAAAGCCGCGGTGCCTACATCTGTAAAATCAGCTGGAGTGGAAAACATGACCCGAGTAATTCAGCTCATTTGCACCTGTCATGCCAAAACCCTGTCCTTTAAACACGTCTGCTTCAGCTGTAAATACATTTAATGAGGCTGTAACAACTTCACACGAGGGCTGTTCATTCATTCTGACACTTAAAGGAAGAAATTGAGGGAAATAAGGAAAAAGATTTTAAATAGAAATAGAAATTCTGGTTGATTCTTTGTATGATTTTAAAAAAAACTAGGTCTGCTTTCCTACAATACGTTGCTAAACTGTGTGCATTGAAATGCCAGCAGCCACATCAGAGGTGGCGCAGGCTCCACCCTCTCCTCCTGAAGTGGACTTAATGCCAGGACAATCTGAAGTCAGAGCTGAGCTACTGCTATAGCTGATGCAGAGTCAGCTTAGCATGGGCTCATCTCATAAAAGATCGAGCACAAAAACTGTTCTTCCTCCTCGCGTCTTTAAGGAAGCAATTTAAAAACATTGTGTACACACTACACTGGGGAGGCTGTTATTTAAGCCATGATTTTTAAAGTAGATGGGTTATTTACATAGGGGAAAAAATAGGGGCATCTGAGTAACCAAACTAGCATTTAAATTGCTAGGGATGTCAGAAGATATGCAAAATAGACATAATTCTTTCAGACCAAATAAAAACTTTTGCCTATCAGACTGCGTAGCATTTATTTATGTCACTTTTTATTTCCTTTCAGCATCTAAAAGCTTAATCCTTCAGCATTTCTCCATTATTAAAACAATGACGTTACTAACATTTCAGAATCCTGAGTTACCAAACACACACCTCACCCATTAAAATATTTACATTGACTGAAATTAACACAAGCTCCTAAAGTGTCTCAGGCACCAGGCACCATGTTAAGCCCAAGTAGACTTCAGCTGTTCAACCTTCTGCTTGCAAACAGAAAAACCACTTAAAGTCAGTGCATCCAGGTCAACGGTTATCAAGAACCCAGCAGACTGGTCCAACTCCAACACACACACAGCTAAAGGACTGCCATAACGCTGATGCGTCTCGCTGGCTACCTGGCACAGAGATGCCCAAGCTCTAGCAACAAGGCCTTACTCAGAAAAACAAACACGGATTAAGAAAGGGGGCTGGAGGTGGCACTTCTTTAACTACCCAGGGGAAAGCAGCAGCCCTCGGACTGCTGGTTGCATGAAGTAGCACCTCTAGGAAGAAGTTCAGCCACCTTCAGCACTCATAAATAAGAGTAAGGAAGGAAACAGCGGAGTAAGACGAGCACTTTAAGGCACTCTGCAGGAACAGACTGCGATTTCAGCTGCCTTCACACCTCGGTTCCGCAAGCAGCGCCTGCAGCAGGTAAGAAGCTGCAGCCTTAAAACCCTGCCCCTGCTGCCACCTGTGGAGTCCAAGGGGAAGGTGGCATGGGTGTGACTCAGCTGCCACATTCGGAGTGAAACAAATAAACCAAAAACTTTTAAACAGCCTTGCAAGATGCTTTTAGCTACCAGCTCTGCATCTGCTCAGCTGTAGCTCAGAGCTAGCCCCTGCCTCAGCAGAATCGCTCCAAGAAAGCTCGTGTATGCCTGAGGCTGCACTGAGCAGGCTCTGTCAGGATCAGCTTTTGGCACAGCTGTGCAGGGCCACGAGGCTCTTCTCAAACAGCCGAGCAAGAATCCAGAATACAGTCAGAACTGTTTAACTGCTCGAACGTTTAGACCCAGGAAAGCACCACACAAGATTCTGTAAAACTTTAATTTATTCCCTTCCCAAGTATCCAGAATAGAAGACCCTCTTAAGTCAGAGAAAAATGTGACAAAGAAAGAGATTACCAGGAGAGCTGTTGACATGAAGAAGAAGAGAAAAGCACGTACTACCAAGATTACACAGAAAACAACCCAAAAGTCCTATTTAATGGGATAGTGCAAGTTAACAGCATGTCTCTGGCAAGGATACCTTCATTTGGATTATAAAAGTTTTACAGAACAGAGTTAGATCAAGAGTCTGGATGGGTCTCTGGTATTTTACTCTAGCATTAGGAACGTACTGTTTGAAAGATGCTGTACAGAATGACCCACCAAACAAATGTATTTACAAGCCTGGGGAGAAAAAAATTATTTTTCAGTTTATTCAAAATAAAAATACACATAGAATTATGAAAATATAGGTTTACTATTTCCACCACACAGAAGTCAATGCTGCTGTCTGAAAGGCTTGCAAGATCATTTCAAGTTTTTAAAGTTCATCTTTTTCCCTCAATAAGGTGTACCTATGTTCACTGGGTGCCAGCTTCTGGAATGAACTCTCTGGTGGGCTGCTTGCTAAATCCTGAATTGGCTGAAAAACAGAACAAACCGTAAAAATCACTCATTAGATATTTTTGTCATCAATTGCTTCCATTAAATGAACTTCTAACAGTTGCAGGAGCGCACAAATAGCCAGCATTCTTACAAATTAAGCTTTGCTTTAATTATTTTTCTTTTGGAGACATGCCAAAAGTCCCAAGTAGGTAAATACATATCCAGACATCAATTAAGTACCATCGGTTAAGGACATTGCATTTAAGGACATTTCCTTTGTTAGCAGATCTCAAAGGTAATGTCATCATAAGTTTCTGTACAAGTGACTTAGAAGTCTTTCAAACGCACCCTATTACTCGATTTATTCGAGTATCTGCTACTTGCTTTGAAGGCATTTTGGTCTGTGTGTTTGTTTTTGGGATACCAGGGCAAAAGTACAATCGCTGCCAAAATATTCTAAAAGTAATTTCCTGGGAAAACCAAAAAAAACACCAACCCACATGCAACTCAGGGGACATGTATGACTTAGGAGAGCAAGCTCCAGCTTCATTTCCAGCAGTGTTTCCACTGCCCAGGCACTCACCTCTTCCACAAGCTGGCAGAATGCCAGATAAAGATGGGAACACAAACAAACCTAGGGCACTAGATCGTGTCCCCGTCCTCCCTTGCAAAACGCACACGAGAGCCCGTGTGCAGCTCTCGGCATCCAGCCTCTGCCCAGATGTGCGGCAGGATCCAGGAAACCCGCAGGCTTCCTCCCTCCCTGGCCAAACTTGCTCCATGCGCTGGCCTCCAAGCGTGCCTAGCCCCAAGCCGCCTGACCAGCCTGCACTTCGGTCTCCTGCTCTGCTTGACACTATTTCCTCCAGCTCCTCCCACTGACCTGAATTCAAGTTGCTCACTGAATCCCAGAGCTTTGGAACAATTCCTGACTCTACAGGCTTTTCATAGAATGGTTTGGTTGGAAGGGATCCTAAAGCCCACCCAGTTCCAGCCCCCTGCCACGGGGGGAGAAGTCCCTTCTTTTCTGCCTACTGGATAAAAGCAAGCACCGAGGTGCTCCTGAGTTTTGTCTGAAGAAGGATCTGGAAGTTGTGTTCTTTAAGAGATCCCAGGAGTGGCTGTCGTGCATGTACATATAATCATCTTTAAGCAGAACAGTAAGGAATCTGCATGACAAATGCAGTCTGCGACTACTATTAATGCCACTTTTTATGTGTACTAATAAAAGTAAGAAGCCCCATTACCACTTACCACTCCTTAGTTGATGCTCTAATAACCTGCCTCCTGCTTGGATTGGTGACTACAAGTCAATAAATACAACAACTGGTGCTTCCCCTCAGAAGCACCCTCTCGGTATGTTGTGTGGGCTATGATGCATTTATGGCTTCATATCTATAAACATAAATACCAGTTCTGCCTACTGAAAATCAAATGAGAACGTAAGAGCAGCTTTATATGCTCAAAAAAGTTGTCTAGCCCAGGATCTTTCAGTGGAGAGAACAAATATCCTTACACTCCTCCTTTATACAAGGCAAATAGGCAGTGTATTTCCCTCTGATGCTCTCCCTCCCTTTAACCAAGAGAAGCTTTTAACGAAACAGCATAGCAGAAATGGCAACATCATGTTTCCATAGCAGATTTCTCTTTCAGAAATAAAGTACCGCTATGACAAGGGAAAAAAAAAGTCTTCATTAAATGGCCAAACTACACGTATCTGTGGTAACCTTACCTGACCAGGTGCTACATCAGTTGGATCAGGGCCGTGGTGAAACTCTCTATGCAATTTTCCAGAATGCAAGTCTAGTACGAATTGCTTCAGTTTACCTGGAACTCTGCAACAAATTAAACAAACACCCACGTGGTTATGAGGAGGTAAGTCCAACCACAAAGTGTACTGTTTCGAGTGGCCAACTTCTGTCCACCTGGCACACTGTGTTCACTTCCCAGCGATTCACACCGGCCGGAAAGCAAACGGTTTGTTAAGGTATCCCACCAGCTTCTTTTTCTTCCCCCTGTCTCTCGAGAGCCCAGCGAGTATTTCATCTTTTCAATAGCTCCCACCACGCCGTAGCAGCCAATAACTTCATTGTGCACTCACTTCAGCTCCCCACCAGCCGTAATGTAAGGGAGAACAGCAGGCTCCAAGTGCACAGTTCACAGATACAAATGACAGCCGGGCAGCAGTATTGACAAAACAGCTCTGAAAGGCTCTCCGCTGCCCGAGTAACTGCGCGTACACTAGAGATAAGCACTAAGAGGATATCAATTCAAATCTAATCTGAAATCATCTGCTGTCACCCACAGCAAACGTGCTAAAACTACAGCATCCAATTTTATTTGCGAGATGTCAAATAGACTGAAAAGCTTAGGAGGAGGAGTTGATCTAATAAGCATCAAAGATGGGATTAAAAAAAAAAAATCAGCATGAGCAGCACACGTGCAATCAGAAGATAGCTGATGGAGCTAAAAGATGGAGATGGGTTTTGTAGGGAGCCCTTCGTTAGGCCAATTAGGAAAGTGGGACAAAGTGGGGCGAGGCTGGCTACCAGCTGTATTCCGGATCATCACTCAACCCTACGGACAAAAAGTAGCATCAGGTCCTACAAACAGTAGGACCGCTGCTCCTTGGGCTCCTAGGAGCCTACGGGTCAGCCACGCTGCTGAAGACATCACTCTCCAACCTCTTCTCCTCCCCGAACACAGCAAGGGTGTTTGGTGCCTGCAGCCCCATGTAGCTCCCCAGTTCTCTCTGAAAAACTCCAGCTGATTTGTTGAACTGTCCCTGTTGTCACCTCCAGCCTGCCACAGCTGGCTGAACAGGGCCAGGCGGCCAAAGGAAGAGAAGAAAACGCTGGGCGAAGGTCTGATGTGCCACCAAGGTGGCTATTCTCCACATCACAACTCTCTAAAGAGGACAGCAGCAATACTCGTTGAGGAAATCAAAGTTTGGGTATCCAAACCCTACAGGTCGGTGGCAGCAGCGTGATTACAAGAAAGAGAAAAAAAAAGACCAGAAAAATGTACTGAAATGGCAGAAATCCGCACAGGTAAAGCAAAGTCCTAGCATTAAGATTGTATGTGATCTCCAAGCACCATTTGTTACGTACTTCTAAGCACCAGCTCAATCTCCCAGAGCAAGGCTGAATAATTATTTATCGCCAAGCAACTGTCTCCAACCCTGACATCTCTCTCATCTTCATTTGTATGTAACAACTGGTACACAAACAGGCAAGTAGCTGTCAGTATTCTGGTAGTGCTTCACAGAAACAGAACGTGTAAAACACGTCACATGGAAGCCTAAACTAAACATCTCTATTACCCCTCTGCAAGAGACAATGATTTATTTTAGGACTGCTTTCAAAGTGACAATGAAAAGAGTGCTTTCA